CACACCCAAAAAGCTGTTTGAGTCATTGCCAATCCCGACACTCTGTTAATGAATGACTGCATTTTGATTAAGTGGTCAAAGTTTCTGATATGTTCTGTGGATTTTCTTGGGTGCGACCAGGAAGAGTTGTGACGAAATTGTATCAAGTTTTATTTTACTCAAATGCTTCACATTCATATATGACCTGAATGTCAAAGGTCAGAGGGGGTTTTAGCCCACAGCAGACACTGAGTCCAGACCTGACCAACAGTTAGTGAGCTTTCTGTCCCTCAGTGTCTGTGTTGCAGTCCTGTTGACAGAGTAGATGTGAGTGACTTGCATGATGTTATTATCATTAAAGCTGGGAAGAGGTTTTATGCACATAGGTAGTGAATGGGAACTAGCATCAATAAAAGAGACAGAGGACCTTTAACAATGCTGTAACATGGGTCACAGCTAAAGAGGAAGAAACAAAAGTTAAAACGTGTGGTTTTGAGTGAACTGTTGTGTGCCATGAAATTCAATCAACAACAAAAGAATCTAAACTGTGCGCTTATATGATGAATGACAAGCCTTCTTCCCAGAATCCTCTCCTTCAACTATGACGCACTTGTGGCCACTGGAATGAATGCTTTCCGTTGCTGGGAGGAAAATCAACATACGGTATTAAAACCTGTTGCAATATCTCAAAGTATTTGCATGAGATAACAATGAGGTCACAAAGGTGTATGTATCAATACACAGCTGCACTATATATATATTTGTATTTACGATATACATGAAGTTCAAATGAAGTCCACTCCTTAGTTAAACAATATTGCAACAAGGCACTGGGAGAAAAATACTTCCCTCTAAACTGATCAAGAGCATAATGATTATAATTATTGAGGAGTAGGAAATATCGTTTTTACAGTGTATTTAAGAAAACTGCAAAAGCTCATGTAAACTTCTAATGAAAATGTGTTTGACTTTTCATTAAAGAAAACTGTCACATCTGTTTGTTTGTGTCGATATCAGGGGTTTAGTTTTGTGATCGTAAGGATGATTCAACAATTCCCAACAACAGTCACCATTTTAAACGGATTTGTTTGGAGTAGGAGTGGTCCACATGACACACTGACCTATCCACTAATTAAAAAAAACTACCATTTGACATTCATTTATCAGAGCTCCATTAAAAAACACACAGAACACCTCTCTAGAGTAAAAATGTTGTCAGTCATATTTTTTGTTGTTATGATCAGACTGGCTTAGTTAAGAGATGTTCTGTGGGCTGCGTTGTTTCAAAATTCATGATGCCACCAGATTTAGCCTCATTTGATTACAATCTTTATTGCTCATGTCTCTTATTTGATGTGCACTGTCCAGTGAGTCATCCGAAATTAAACAAATATGAAAACTCAGGGTCAGTCTTGTAATTAAACTGTGACAATGCACTTATTCAACCCAGTTTCAAGGAAAAGGTGCTTCCTGGAAGATAGTCCCTGACTGTAAATATTTATAATTGTATACATCTATTTAGTTTATTGGTGTTCTCTAAAAGTTAAAAAAAACACGAAAACATTCACGCACAAAACAGACAAATCTGTGGTATGAGTGACATTCATGTATTATAACTTTAATGATCTGTTACTACGTAACGAAGCAGGAGCTGTTTCTGTGAGGATGTCATTTGTTAAAAAAGATATTAGCTCCAGTGTAAAAAGGTTAAAAAAAATTGTGAGTGTTGAACCAGCGTCTTTGACTACAGTTACCTCAGTTACTCAATTTTAATAAGTTGGCACAGAATCATCGACTTGTGCAAGAGCTCCATGGGGGGGGGGGGTTAATTTAATAATTAACTCTCTAACTTGCACTTCTGCTGAAAACATGTTCAGGGTGCTTACATAGGCTCTGTGTGATGTATTTTTACAAGAGATAAGTTAATTTCTTTTACTTCAAAAGTTACTTGTATCTGCTGTACAGTCGAAGTATGCAAACACATTAGAGGTTAAATTAGTCACTTTTAAGGAAATATGTCTGTTTCCCCTCTGAAGCAGCTGCGCAACATGATTTATTAGCTATGAACACAAAACATTTGAAATACAAAGTCTTGCACCTGAATACGGTCTTTCTATCTGTCTTTCTAGATCGTCACAAGAACCACAAACACAAACCATTTTTCATAAGTGCATGTACATGTTAAAAACTCACAGTGACGACTTTCTGAGTTGTAAACTTGTATATATTTTACACAGTTTGTGGCCACATTTGACTTTCACATTCAAGTCAAATTATATTTATACAGCCCAATATGATACGGATAAAGAAACACAAAAACAATGGAAGAAACCTCACGAAAGCCAACACATCATCTAACAAGAGCAATAAATATTAGACTGGTTAGTCATCAGAAATTACTCAACAATTAACTATCGACTACTCTGATCTTTGGGTTCTCGGAGACTGTTTTGGAAATTGACACCACACAGATCATTGGTTCTTGGACTCATTATATTGACAGACTCAAATTCAAACAAAATAAAAAAACTAATAATGTTAGTTGCAGCCTCAGCTCTGCAAAGGAACCAGAAATAATCACTCAGTTTTCAAATGGATAGTTGCAAAAAAGAGCTAAAAACAAGGTTACATTTAGTGGGAAAAAGTTGATTTGAGTGAACTAAACTTTAAAGCATTGTTCAAATGAAGCAAATAACAAAGGGGCAACAGCAATGACATGATTTGTATTTGCTTCCTTCATAAGGTTGTCTCAGATCTTACATAACCCCAGAAAATATAACAGAATAATGAACCAAGATCCCTTCTTTCATTTCCCAATGAAGCCAATTTAGTCTGAAATGTTTGAGCCCTTAAGAAGTCCGCAATAACAATAACATGAAAAGACAAGAATGACCCTGAGGAGGATTTATTATGTTTTCATTCTGAATAAATCTGTGTTCTTCTGTTCTCATTTTTTGGAGAATACCATCAAAAAAAGCGTTGTCAAGGGAACTAATGTAAAGAGTAAATGTGAATAACTGTGTATTTAAACTTCAACCATAAAACCTATGATAAACACCGATTTAATAATTCTTCATGCTTCTTGGTGCAAACCACATCCCACCATCACATGCACCAGTTTCATTGCTTTTTTAAAAAAACAACTATTTGAGCATAAAACCACTCAACTTCAATATATTCCAAGACACATTAACCTGGTCATGGTCCAATGCTTGATGATAGAGGCCAAGTTTTGATCCAAAACTGCTGAATGCTATAGAGTCAACTCAAAAACCAACTGATCCTGCAGCTCAACGAGTAATTAAAAGTATATCAAAACAAAAATACAATGCAACAGAGAATTACGACATATTTTTGATAGAATTGAGATAGTTCACATAAAAATCCATTACAATGTAAAAGTGAGTAATATTTAATGAAAAAAACCCCATCAGACGTCAAGTTGGATATTTGAATGGGAATAATCAGTTTATCAGTATTTGATTAAACGTATTATTTGGATGCTGGGTTGTTCATTGTTTGACAGCTATTGTTGATATGATAAAACCAGGCGAATATGATTGGAATTTTCACGGTACACTGTGTACCAGGAAGGACATTGATAGTTTTTTACTTTATAGTCATTCCAGTGAGGTCTTGATTAGTAAGTCCTACAAGCAGCAATGCTCGATTGATGGTGGTCTATCAGTTTGCCATTTTAGTAGAAATACTGAAACATCTCTTCAACCCTTCGGTGGATAGCCCTGAAATTTTGCACAGACATTCATGATCCCCAGAGGAAGAATCCACTAGCACCTCCATCAGAGTTACATTAGTTGTTTTTAGTGACCCGTCTTTTGCTTTTGTCGAGATCACGAAGACCTCGATGTATCACAGAGAATGAGGAAATTGGGTGGTGGTGGCTGGTAGAGTCACCAGTAGGTAAAAGGTGTTGCTTTGTCTTTGAAATATTTCAACATCTACTTTGGAGTTGTATCTACACTAATAAATTTGGTGATAACTTTGTATCAAGCATTATTATGATTTTGACTGTTTTGATTTTGAGTGAAAGTCTCAACTTCAAAATGGATTGTTATGAATTTCTGTGTTCACTTTCCGACATCCTTTGGGATGAAATGTCACAACTTTGGTGATCACTTAACTTTTCACCATACCTACAGAACTACTGGGTAGCTACTAATTAGCTACTTACTAATAGCGCCATTTAGCAAATGTTAGCGTGCTAACAAGCTAAACTATATTAAATGCAATAAAAATGACATCTCCTTCACCTTAGCATGTTAGAATCTCCCTAATATTTTTAGCATTGTATGGTAGTTTAAGTCCCAGAAACACTAGCAGGAGCATTGTAGACCCTTGGCATTTTCACATTAGTGTGGTTTATTATCTGATCACCTCATGGACAGTTAAAATCAGCCCACCAAAATGTTTCTGAAAAAACAACAAGAAAAAAAAAAAAACAAAACAAACAAATATGTCCAAATGAAAAAGCAGTAGAAGACACTACTGAAGATGTCAAAAGAGCTTTTGGTGATCAGGGCTGGTGTCGCTGTGCTGTAAGTAAGTTTAACCCACATTTTGCCATCATACATTTAATATTCTTCCAGTGATTTGTCTTAACAAAAACGTTTGATTTACTGAATAACTATCCTTATGGATTTATATGGCACGATGCCCGGCACAGACGTCTTGCTGCCCTACCCAACTGACCTTGAGCAAGGCACTTATTTACTCTCCTTGTACATATGAGTTTGTCTTCACCTAAAAATAGACTTGTATTGCACAGTACTTTTGTTGTCTTTTGTACTGTTGATGACAGGCTTACAGTCAGAGCTGTGACAGGCCCCTGGGTGGAGGCAGAGCCAGTGCAGCTTCGGTAATGATGAGTGACAGGAGAGCTGGTCCAATCAGAGGAGGCACTAAAGCTTTTAATGCTGTCAGTGGCTGCAGCTCTCTGTGTGAACCACCTTTATCAGTCTGGAGGAGAGTTCTGTACTGCACCCTTATTTTTACTCTGACACTGGCAGGACGCAGCACTTCACCACCGGCTGCTTCTCAACGCACAGACCTGAGACTTGAACCATGTTTTTGTCATCTGTCGTCTTTCTGCTGGCAGCTGTCACCGGAGGTGAGTGACAAGTTTACTTTCACATAGTTTTAAAAAAATATCAGGCTAAACTGTGTTTTCATCCACAGTAACATGTTTACCCAATGAGAAATATGAGCTGAAACCTGTGAATACAATTTCAAGTTTAGTTTAGTTTTAACTTTTTAGTTTTGACTCGAACACATTCTGACAGGTGGTTAGGTATTCAGTTCCTTTTCATACCACTTCACTATTATTACACTATTACAGTGATTAAATAAAACAAAAACTACTAATTATCTACAATTAAGAGAGTTATGCCCTCAAAATCAACTTACTTTTAGCAGCTCAAGTATTGTTGACGAGCTAAGGTAAAAATGGGCCCTGTCAAATTAAAAATTATAATACTGATTAATAATTACAGTAATTATAATATTGTTTTTTATGTACAATTAGTATTGTAGTTATAGTTGCTGTTTTTGAGATAATTGTAACTAGACTGTCTGGTGATAACTGTAAAAATCTGTCAAAAAATTGCACCTCACATGTTCATTAACTATTAAGCTTTTCTCCCTTTTTTGAGGTAACTGTAAAATATATGGATACATTTTTATTAGTTTAATTTACAAACTTGTTCTCTTCTCTACTTTTTTTATGTTCATGACCACCAACCCATGAACATATTTGAAGTTTATTTGATCCAATGTAAATTTTACTAGTGATTCTTGCAAATAACATTCAAATAATATGGACATTATTAGAATATTTTACAGGACCTTTTTTAACTGGGCGAAATATCCCCTTGCCATGTATGTACTCACACTGTGCTGCATCTATGACGTAGTCAGCACCTGATGAAAGAGCTTTTGTGCAGAGAAACACACAGAGGAACTGCAATTTGTTATTTGAGTTTACAAAAATCATGATCACATTTTAATATAAAACAACATAGCAGATTGTCGTCAGTGATAGAGCAATAAAGTACTGGACTTTTCCTTTATATCCTTCACCAACCTTTATCCAGTCTCTGAAATTAACATGTAAAACACATAAAAACCTAAAAAATATTATGGTATAGGTGAGAAGATAATAGACAACCAAACAAGACACATTTATGAAATAAACCTCTTTTTGGCAATAGTAAAAACCTATTATGATATCTATATCCTGTTAGGGAATATTACTGCATCTAGCAAGATAGAGAATTTGATCCTTCTTACTGTATATATACACTTTCGCAAGTTTTTTTTTTTCTTCATCTCACTTTTTCATTTTTTCATAACACATTTGTGGGGGTTTTCCCCAAATAGTCAGCAGCCCTGACTCACTTGCTTCAGTGGGATTCAAAAGTTCTCTGGAGGTCCGAAGAAACATCAGTCAAACAACAGCCGGCTATCCTGATGTGAAGCACACCCCACACACTTAGTTTACTCTATGTGTGTATAAGCGGACCCTCTCAACAGTGTGGCGATGCTGCTTTGCTCCTGTTAAATCCATCGGTCACCCATTGTATTCTGTTGGAACCGCTCTGAAGTGCATCTCTGTGTTTAAAGCTAGACCATATGAAGACTGATAATTAGTCACTGTCATGTGCTGGAGCCTCTGGAAGCCTGGAGGTTGTTTGTATGTTTCCCCTTCTGTCATGCACCCTACGTCTATAAAAACCCAGAGTTAGACAGCTAGAGACGGTGGGTGGGAGGTAACTGAGGCTCCACTTTGGGGCATGACTGAGTGCGTCTGAAGTAGCAGTAAAGAGGTCCAGGAGAAAAGACCTCCTGAGGACTGTGATCCTCCTCCCCCGAGTCTGGCGCCACATTTTCTTGTGCCTCCTGCAAGAAATCTTCCAGAGAGAAAGGAGCAGAACATAAACACATGTGATGATTTGCTGCCTAGTCATCATTGCATCATTACCAGAGCATGGAGGATATGGTCAGAGGTTTACAGATGGTTGTAGAAATGAGAATGGACTGTTGCTCTTTTTGTCCAAGTAAAACCTTAAGATCCTCAATTTAAGTACATGACAATGACAAGCTGCAAACTGTGTTATTTGAGATTTATTATTGTTCTTGTAATACTCAGTTCCTCCTCTCCTTGTTTCCCTGTTATTGTTGATAACTGAGTTCATCTTCCTCATTTGACGCCTTCCAATCTGCTGGCATTGTTTCCATGCACACTTGTTGCTGTTTTCTCTTCTGTTTCTACCCCCTTCTTCTTCTTCCTCTGTCGCACCGTCCCTGTCGGATTAGACCTGCTAAAGGGCTGTAAATCTCACTCTGTAATCGGAAAGCATATGCTTGCAGTGCTTTAATTGGATATGATATGTGCAGAGGCCCTGCGAGTGAGGTCTTGCTCTGGGGAGCCATCTGTTACCTCCATGTTACAGTTTAAGAGCTCTGTTTGCTTTTATACAGAAAAGTCTGTCGACCTCCTCATACTGAGGGCGGCCCGTTATATTTGAGACTGTCTGATGAGAGAACCAAAAAAATGGATCCACAGAATGACTATATAAAGACATAAGATATCTATATAAATCAAGTCATGTATAACGAGATAAGATATCTAGCATGTCTGTCACGTCAGCAGTAGCAAGTATCCCTGCCAAGATAGTGTTTATGTCACCATCCAAATGGAAATGAGTAAAGTCCAAGCAGGACTTGGAGTTGAGACTTTATTAGGGCGCTGCTACCTTTATTACCCATCTATGGGTAATAAAGGTAGCACACCATGCACACCATCATGGAAAATCCAATATACTGCAATAAAGCAGTTCTGCTCATGGCTGAACAGCATTTCCTACAATGATTGAATGCAATCTTAGATATTGCTTGTTTAAAGTTAGCTGTTTACTAACTTTATGATTTTTAACACAATATTGTATTGTTTTTAAGGCAAAACTTACAGCTGTGTAATTTTAGAGTAAAAGTAAAGTAGACTGAGGTCAGTCGATCAGTTAGATAAAACTAGAATGTCACTCAGTAGCGTGCATACCCCCACCAAGGCCCAACAGTCCCCTTAAATTCAGTCAATCTCCACCAATTTTCATACACACAGTCCCCTAAATATGCCAGATATTTTTCATCACTTGGTAAATGGTGACAAATGTTGAAAAATGTTCAATCTTAAAGAAAGTGAATTGGCCCCCTGAACTGGATCTGAACCAAAATTGAATGGGTTCTTCCCTCATTCGTACCCCATTCTTTCTCAAAGTTTTGTGGTAATCCATCCAGTAGTTTTTGCGTGACCCTGCTAACAAACAAACAATGACACCCCAGTGAAAATATCTCTGTGGCAAATTAAAAACAGTTATAGTATATATTATATCAAAAGCAATTACGGATATTACTAGGTCCGCTATATCTTTATCAGACAGTTTTTAATCATGTTATTATTATTATCATTGTTATCCATATGAGGCAGTGGTTCTTCCTCTGATCAAGATGGTTGACAGGAGACGCTCGCAGGATGATGGCCTGTTATTCAAAGAAAAATAAAAGCTTCCTCTTTGTCCTGTGAGGTCGCCTCAAGCTGTGTCCTTTTGATGTGGCAGCCCTCAGGCCAGGTTTTGCCTTGGCAATGGACACTGGGTGTGTGTTTGTATGTGTGTGCGTGCGCAGGTATGGGCATCTTTAAATATCAGGAGATGGTAAAAGCAGTATGTTAGAAATGCTCACGCTCATTAGCCTCATTAGTGGAGAGCTGTAGTTCAGTGTGGCTCCAGCATTCTCTGCTTTGATCAGCTTGTTTCAGTGTCATACTGCATATTTTCTGAAACGTATGCACTCCACACACATGTACACACACACGTACACATCACTATAGGTCAGCTCTCCACATGACAAGTCTGCTAATGAGATCCTGCCTTATGCTCCAGGCTCTTCCTGACTGTTGGGTCACAACCTGTCAGTTTACCTCCTACTCTCTGTGTGCATTCTTTAAACAGATCTGTCCCTCTCACAGTTTGCTGTGCGTGATAGATGAACTACTACAGGAAAGTGCTTATAAACTGGAAATCTTTCATGAGATAGAGAAAAGGGGAGATAGCTTGTCTTCAGGATTCCTTCTGGGAATTCGGTATCCCTTGGACCTCTGTGTTATCAATACAAGGCTTTACTGTGGAGTGGCAGCATGGACATGAAGTTGTGGATGTGTGTTTGGGGAACTGGATCTAAGCTTCATGAACAGGTACTTCACAGGAGTGTTGCTTGAATAGAAATCCCCTCAAGTGCAGCAGTGAGCTGAAACACGAGCATTCACGCCACAGTTTCTGTGTTTCTCTCAAGGTTGGCGATTTGAAGTGAGCAGAAGTTTTTGACAACAAATCCATGGCAACAGATACACCCTCCCACATCCTACAGCATCGAGAGAAAATAGGAAAGAAAGATTTCGAGAGACATGGCTTCTTTTAGGTGGCGTCATTACACTGATAGTTTGTCAAAGTGGCAAGTGTTCTTACTTGACTTGGAACAGAGGAGTAGCTCGCAGCAGGCAATGCCGGACCTTCTTATCCATATCCTCTTGAGTATGTGTTCACAGGTCGACCTTAGGCCCAGTTGTCACCCTGCATGACCTATTCATCCCCATTGTGTCTGCAGGGGATTATCTGAGTGCAGGTTAAATCCTTAGAGACAAGGCTTCTTGTTAGATGTGTGACACAGTATTGTACAACTGTGGGCAATAGTTCTTACAATAACTGTCAGTTTGTTTACATTTCAATGTATGTACATTGTATATAGATTTATCAAACATTTCCAGTCTAATCTTATGGAACCAAGAAGCTGTTAAAGCAGTTGTGATAAAGTAAAACAAAAAAGATGTTGAACATCTATAAGAAATGCTTCTTGTGGTCAGTGGGTAAGTTTAAACATATATTGTTGCAGCTATCATCATAGATGTGTGATGTGAAACTTGGTCACATGTCGTTTTTTTGTGTTACGCAATGCACATGAACATCCTTGTCCATTACATTTGCTCTTTTGTCCATTACTTCCTCCTGTGTCCCTAAACAGTGTAATGGTTTTTATGATGAGACTATAACATTCTTTATCTAGACTATTTATGTTTTATGGGTAGGTGTCAGAAATTAAACATATCAGCAGCCTGTGTTCAACATCACACTTTCAAGGTCTCAGCTGAAGTCTCTTCTGTCAGCGATATTAGTCTGGAAACAAATAATCACTGTGTGCGAAAGCTACATTTGCCAGGTTGTAATAGAGAGTTGTTGTAAATGACACTGTGATACCAACATTATATATAAATTAATTCCAAGAATGTAGTAAACTTTAGAAATGTTATTACACACAAAACCTCTTATCATTGCTGTCAGGTGAAGTAATCATTCTGTAATTGCTCCAAACAACAGCGTCACTTTTTCCTTTTGTAATGGAAGAGTTTTGTAATAGCAGATCTCAATAAAGGTGATATGTCTGATCAAGGTTACTGATTAGAACCTTTAATGTCGAAACTGCAATAGTACTTTGATATCATAGTTTATCAGGCATTAATTAGGGTCTTGTCACATCAAGCATCAATGATTTACTAATTACCAAATAATATATTCAACAGATCTTTCCATCAAGAGGCCTTTATTAAACTTGACCTGTTAAATGTCAGCAAAGTTAGCAAGGCTGGTTAGCATCTTAGCATTATGTACCTGCATTTTTCTATAGCTAGGGATATTGTAAATTGCTAACCTGCCCCAATCAGGGCTCATGCTAGCAGCAACTAACATGTACACAATGACAATGCTAACAATAACATGTTGCTGGCTGTGTAGTGCTGTCCGAATGTTCAGTGAAATAATAAATACCCTGTATAGTTGAGTCAGTTTTACCCACAATGCCTCATGAAAAGAGTTCAACTGATCGCTCATGGTCACTTACTGAGAATAATAATAAAAGCAGAGCAGCGCATCACATCAAACATTTCTCCAGTGACCTTATATTAAGTTTGTGTGTGTGATTACTCAAGACACAAAGAGGTGATGAGCTTTGATTGAGTTCATTTCCACAAAAGTAGCTTTCATCCAATACTATGATGATGATGTAATTAAGCATTTAAATCAACTGTTTACTTGTGTTGATTACAAAGAAGTCTATTTCTAAAATGTTAAAATTACTTCCACTAGCTTTTATTTAGCTGCTGTCACATACCAGCTTTCATACTTGGATGGAATGCAACTGAAACTGGCTACCTAGTTTCTATAGAGCAAGAGGAATCTGAAGAATGGCTAAGATATGATTACTTTTGATACAGGAAGATACAAATTGTTCCAATAGGATTTGAGTAGAATGCAAAGTATGCAGGGATGACGTGCACAGTGAAATACTTAACCTTTGATTCCTCCATAATGAGAACACACACAAGTCCCTGAAAATGATACAGTTAGAAATGTAACACAGGGCTAATCAAGAAAGGGTTGGCTAGATCTAGTTTAAGAGGTTTTCCATTAATCTTGATCTCTTGTCAACCAGTAAGATTAGTACGTTGCCCTTAAGTCTTAATCTAGATGAGTCAATCACAAAATGATACATGTGTACTTTACAGCAGTGATCTCTTGCAATGCAACCTCAGTTATAGATGCCTAAATAGAACACTCCTTTACTTTCCAAACTTTTATCACTCCCTCATGTATCATCTTTTTTTGCTTAATGTCCTATTCCATTGCCATCGAACAAGGTAGCCATAAATGCTTTTACAGGGTGTGTGAAGCCTGCTTTTCTAAATAAGTCTTGGTTACCAAGTGATTAGGACATTTGATCACACACAGTAAATAATCAAATCGTGCTTAGGATCTGATATGTCTTGGTTTTCCCACCACTTCTTAATGCTCCTAATGATTAACTGGAGAAAACAGTTTGTGTTAGGCGTAAACCCATTTATCTCGCACCAGTATGTTCTTTCTTTGCCTGCTGAAAAGGGGCTTTGGATGTAATCAATGTATGCAGATGATAAGCTGAGGTAAACAGGCTAAGCCATAATCAAAGACCTCCTACTCTTTGTAGCACTCCTCAAACTGCCCTCTGGTTTGCTCTGTTCCTCTATAAACACAAAGCAGAGAGTGGCAGCAGCCTAAATGGGAACAGGCGTCACAACAGCACACCGAACAAAAAGGAGGCAACTCTTTCCTTTCAGCTGGACAAATGAAGTTTGTGGCACTTGTGACCGACAGACCTCACCTTGGTTTGTAAAGCACAGTCACCTACGTTTAGTCTTATCTGCTGAGTCATGGCTTGTGTTAACTTTTTATGTACTTAAGTTTCAATGTTTATTTAGGACACAACCTTGCTGAACTGTGAGTGAAACATATCTTAAAAGGCCCTACAGAGCCATTAGTGCTTTTACTTTTTGTAAAGCTTTTCAGAGACTGTAAATAAATGCATGTATTCAGTGTGGACAGTCTGCACAGCTGTGTGTATAATGGTCTGTTGACACTTTTTGTTAAAATAACATTATTACAGAAATGTCATACTTACACAACAGGGCTTATGTCGAAAGTATATGATCTAATTAGATTTGAAACACTGAGAACACTTAAAATTTATACCTCCAATTAACGAACACACTGACTTGGATATATGCTAATTAAGGAATTATTTAGCCTTGCTTAATTAAGATCATAAGTTGTGATGAGGACATTGGTCTGCTTAAAGCTGCTATAAACAAAATGTGCTTGTCTTTTGTGATACTTTCACTGGGGGGGTCTCCAAAGTCAGAAATTTCAAAACGCCTATACATAGCTTAGGTAGCTTTAAAAAAAACGAGACTGTAAAGGTTTGCTGCTCTCTCCTGAGAGAAGTTTCAAGCTTTTTTCACCTTTGACCAAGCTTCACCAATGGGTTTGGTCATATCTGAGTTCTTCTGCACCAATAACCACTCTCATCAGTAATGTTATGGGATTTGAGACACATCTGTTCATCACTGAAACAAGGGTACAAGGTAAAATGCTGAAAGTCAGCAAAACCAAGACTTTCATGGATTTTTAGTGGCTCTTAAAACACTTTTTCTTGTGGCTGAAATCATTGATTTGGACATGTTAGACAGATTAGACAGGTGGTGATGAGTTTTTTAAAAACATTTTTTGCTTTTGTTTTCCCTAAAGGAATGGCAGCCAGTGAAGGATTAATGAATGAGACAACCACCATTCCTATAACTTTTTCCATGGACAACCTAACCAGCAGTTTTACAACCACACCATCATTTACCCACGATCGTAGCAACGACTCCACGACCACTACAACAACAGTCATCAGCACTGTAACCAAAAGTAGCGCCACCACCAGGAGCCCAACTTACTCTTCATCAACTCCATCTACTCCACACACTCCAACTACAAGCACAGAGACAAACCCCACCACTACCAGTGAGACTTCAACCACCACAACTGCTTCAGATAACACGACAAGTTCAAAGATCACTACCACAATCAGCAGTACATCTATGACCACACCGGTCACACACACAAGCAGCAGCACAACTATTACTACAACAGCCACACTCACAAGCAGCAATGTAACTACGACTACACCAGCCACACATACAAGCAACAACGTAACTATGACTACACCAGCCACACACACTAGCAACAATGTAACTATGACTACACCAGCCACACACACTAGCAACAATGTAACTATGACTACACCNAACTATGACTACACCAGCCACACACACTAGCAACAATGTAACTATGACTACACCAGCCACACACACTAGCAACAATGTAACTATGACTACACCAGTCACACACACAGCAACAATTACAGCCACAACACAACCAGGTAATATGACCACAGCTCCATCTCCAGCATCCTCTAGCACAACCTTGTCCTCCATCACCAGCAGCAATGCAACAGTAACAGTTGGACCCCCATCCCCTTCACCTACTTCCATCTCCAGCTCTGTCCCTCCAAACACCTCCCCAGGCAGTAGCACCATACTCCCCAGTGGAACTACCACCACCCTTAGTCCCTCAACAACAACCCCTGGAGGTAGGCCTTAAAGCGAATGTTAATGTTGATGAAATGATACATTATTACATGCAGGTGAGACAGAAATCAGCGTGGAACTTGATTTGAAGCTGCACTGTACAATTTTACAAGTGAAAGGCCACAAATGGTAAAGTCAGAACATTGCCTCAGAAATGTAAACTATATGAGATGTTTAGCTATTGGGCATGAAAGGACTTCTCCCTGCAGCATGTAAACTAAATGAATACAACCTAGCCAATATGTAATTTATACTCAATCTATCGCCTCTAATTAGATATTTATATATATTTTTTGCATTCCGTACTATACCAGGTGTTGATGCTGGGCGTGCTTTCTGTTTAAATGTCTTTTTTTCCTGGTGATATAGTGACCAGCCACACGACAGAAGTCACCACTTTGACTCCTTCAGCTACACCGACTAGTGGAAACAAAACAGCCTCCCCTGCCACCACTCCCTCCCTCACCACCACCACCACTGCCACCGCTGCCACCACCGCTGCCACCACCGCCAGCACCGCCGCCACCACCGCCGCCACCACCGCCGCCAGCACCACCACCACTGCCACCACCGCCGCCAGCACCACCACCACTGCCACCACCGCCGCCAGCACCGC